ATGGAAGAGTCCGACACGCGTTGACATCCTTGAAATGTATGTATACACACACTTCCAAAAAAATACCCCTGGGGAAAATATGTATCCACATGAATATAATACAAACATGACATCTCCAAAGCCTAGTGAACTCGAAGCTTCCCTAGCAATGTTTTAAATAGCAACACAAATAGCTATACTTCATCTCCGTCAGCCAGCTACAACCCGTCTGTCAGTCAAACACAGTCGGTCTAAAAGGTTTTGCAATGATGCCGTCCTTCACCTACAACATGGACGTAAGCTTAGAACGCTGGCTGCATACACATCAAACACAACATGCTAATTTTTACTGATCCTGTTTCCCTTCATGTTCAATTTACTGACAATAGCCTGAACAGTGTGATCAAGTATTCTGTTATTTTATCAACAAGTCAACCACATGTTAATCCTTGCCCCGACACGGGCAGATTTGTTCGAAAAGATCTGAATCTTGCATTCGCTCACGAGGCAATCGCTTTGAGATGAAAAATGTTACTTTAAGCTGTGAACTGAATCACATTTTTCGTAAATTTTATTAACTGAATCGTGAGTCGACCATTTCTAACAAAGTCGAGTCAAAAGTCATATGGCCGAAATTAGACTCGTAACATGAGAAAACAGCATGCCCCAGACAAATTAGCAGACCATTTGAGGATGTTAAAATGAACAGCATGCAGCATTAGTCATAAAGTGTTTTGCAAAATCAGCACAAAGTTTGTCATTGTAATTTCTAAGCAACAAGCACAACATGGATCATTCCTATCTCAGGTATACCAAATCTTAGCCAGAAACCAGACGATATTACATGGCGTAGACATCCCACATTCCCATATCCTGTGTTAAAACCAATGAAAGATTGCCTACTGCCTTGTCTGCTACATGGGACGGTCATATTTTTAAATGTCAATTGCCACAGCGCTGAACCAATCCACACCTGACCCCTCATTCACTGCATGACTAGGCGCAGGCCGCCAACTGTCTGGCTTAGTGCGGTCTAGTCTACATTGCATGCTATTTAACTTATGGCTCTTTAATTTTGGAACCCGCGTGAGTCATGAGCTGAATGATTCCATGCAAGCATGAGTCTGAACTGAGCTAAATAAAAAAAAACAATTGAACAACTATGAGTAATGAGATGGATTGGATCCCCAAATCGGTGAGCAGGGAGCCACTCCCTCCAAGATCTGCTGAGGATGCCTCTACGGTATGTCGTGCAATCACGCCAAATTTTCAGTGGCTTATGAGGCGTTCGTCGCGCGTGTTTCGATACCAAGTACGCGCCCCAGGCGTTTCTGGTCTCGGAGCAGCGGCGGTTTTGGTAGAACGCTGTGCGGCGATTTACGGCCTGCGCGGGCGGCAACCGACGATGCCGTGGAACGCGTGCATCAACGGGGCCATACGTCATAAAGATATGGTCAAAACATAGTAAACTATAGGCCATTTTACTCAGAACTGAACAAGACACACGGCTGTTGAAGTTTCGTATCACTACAAGGCATAATCTCGCACGGATTAGGCCATAAAGCTGAAAAGTGCGCTTTTCGCGAAACTTTGACATTTGACCTTGCATAATGGGGTCAATTTTTAATCTAGCCACATCCAAATTGCCACCAATCGTGAGATCTCGTTTAGATCAATCCAATGGTATCTTCCGCTAAGCTCTATCGTTCTAGTTTGAAAACGCCAGGAAGGCTCGCATCGACCACCCTGTCAGCCGGCCTTATGAAAAACAGCGTATCAGGGCGAGGGCGAAAGTGGCCGTTATGTTCTTGTTGGCGCTCGTGCGCCTTCTCAGAAGGAAGGCACGCGATTGTTAAAATGTTATGGCTAAGGTCCGGCTCGTTCTGGCCTCTAGCCTGCGTGAAACTGCGAATTGGCCAACAATTCCATATGCATTGGGATCACATCAGTGATTGCGCCAGTTTCATGTACCATTCAATCACTGAAACTTTTGAACATCTGCAATACCGACATAAGACTGATTCTGACAACCCGTGGCGAGGCAGACAATGAGAATCTTGACACTGCCTGTGGTAACACGACGCTCTCGACCGACGGTAAGTCACGTGATTAATGCGTCTGCACTCGGCACTAAATACCATAAGAATGTAAACGCGCATTGACATTTTAAAGTTGCGGTGAGGTGACGATGGTTGGATCTAATGGCTCTTTGCATTACCGTTGCGGACATGTAAGCAGCGTTAGTGTGCTCCATTCAAACTACGCAAGCCAGCCATGGCCTATTGATGAAAATAAAAAACAAGGCATTATATGCTGAACAAGCCCGATTTGACACCTTGAAAGCCCTCGTTCGCATTGTAGGCGTGGTCTGCGAAATCTGAAAACCAGACAACTTGTTTAAACTTGAAAATAAGTAAGATCTTTTTCCGTGGAAAATCCAGTAAGTGATGCGGTTTTACTGTCGAAAGCTTTCTATTTCAATGATAGGTCGTGATCGTTTACCAGATCATGTTTCCGATTGTTTCCAAAAGTGGACATTCGCTATTGACTTACCAGGCAATACGCGAAACAATTGGAAAGTTGTTGTATTCCGCTCCCAGCAAACGGCCTTCTGCCCACCTGAGTCCACGTGTGTTCAGGTGGGCAGAGCTCGCGTCTGTGTGGCAGTACGACCGCATACCGTTGTTTCAGCCATAATATTTCTGTACGGTGTTGTTACAACCCGCGGCTGCTCAGTGAACAGTCACGAGAGTGCTGCAACATCCGTCAAACGCGACATGACTTCTGAAAAAACTTATACAGACTTTGTCTATAAGCGGCATTTTTACTACTGTAAAAACTTATACACGACGTGAGTGTTACGTAAAAAATTGTCATCAAAAACTCATGCGCGACGTGAGTCCTACACGTCCAGATACCTGCTTCAAAAATATAATTTATCTACGTCATTAAGCACACAGTCATTATAGAGTCATTACAAATCTATGCAAAGCTTATAAAGTCTTGTCTTATGCGAAACATCACGTTTACTGCAAAATTCATGCACGACGTGAGTGCTGCACTACAAAGCTGCAAAAACTCGTGCACGACGTGAGTGCTGCACTGCAAAGCTGCACAAACTTATGCTCGCTATTACCTATACAGCAAATACTTACCAGTCTTCACTTATACGCAAACCTCTATTGCGAAAACGCATACAAGATATGAGTACTACACGACAAAACTTATACTGCAATAACATATACCAGTCACTACTTCCACAGCAAATGCGTGACCACAAGTCCCTGCGGTAACAAATGTCGTGTACAAGGCTTTTCAGTGGCAGTAATGCCGTGTAAAACCAATGGCTGCATAAGTATTTAGTAGAAGTATCAACGGGCATAAGTTTTTGAAGCATAAGTTGTTTAGTGTAGCACTGATACCACGTAAGATTCTTTGCAGTAGAATTATATTCGAGTATAAGCAATGTCTGTACATGCTTTTGCAGCAGAAATCATGACGGACATAAATTTTTTAAGTATAAGTTTTGTCGTAAGCACTAATGCCGCGTATAAGTGTTTGCAGCAGACAGCACTGACGTGTATAAGTAATGCTGGCATAAATGTTTGGAGCATAAGTTGTGTTCCGTGGCACTAATGTTTTGTATAAATATTGGCAGTGGAAGGAACGCCGTGGGCACCTCCTGCCAGTGTGAGTTTTGTTGTAGCAATGTTGTCCTAAGAAGCCAAGCCACGCGCTTGTGGAATATATCTGCCGCGCGGAGGAC